GACACCGCAAAAGTGCTCAAATCACCTGCAATCTGGCTCAACGACACGACAGCCAAGACTCGTGACCAGTCCCGCATAAACGGAGCAGCTACTTCATACGAAGGGGCTGGCAGATAGGTCATACGGAGGGGTTGGCGAGCCGGAGGCGAGCAGAGAAGCTCCCCTCCGTATGGCGTAGCTGCTAAGGGGCTGACCAAGTTGGTCGACTCGGTCATATTCGGTCCACGACCTAATTGGACCGAATTGTGCCGACAGGCTGGATTAATTGAGGACGATGGGGAATTGGGAACTTTTGGAGTTCGGCGTTCCGCGAAGGAACCGGGGGTCCCGGTCCGGGTCAAAGCACACGAGTATGATTCAGACGTCCCCTCATTCTCGTCAGTCATCATTACAATGAAGAAATCCGCAGGCGTTCTTGCTCCAGTAGCACTGCCAGCCCGAATACAGATGTTATTCAAGTACTAGGATAGGCGAGGGCGGTAAGGTGATGACACACCTATACCATCCTCCCAGCCGCTCTCCTCCATCGTGTAAACACGAACATCGATGCGCTCTTGAGCGCGGGGGATCATTCAGATTGTGTCCTTGAATTTGTCCCAATGAGAACGTAACCAGGAGATTGGGATCTTAGTTTTACGAGAGATTCAGTAGGGGTGAGCGAGAGGTATAGCGGGCGGCGCTACAGTTGTGTCACGTTCTCCCTGCTGTGCATTCACAAAATCAGCGCGAAAGTCGCAGCAATAGTCGACGAAGTCGGTTATCTGCAGGTATGATATATGATGTGTTTGAAAGCTGTGATTTCGCTCGACGAGGGCGTGAATGGATTATAAAGTGACAGTATGCATCTTATAGCGCGGTAAGAGGATACAGGAGTTGTAGATCGACGTCTATAAACTAGGAAGGCGTTGGCGCGAGACTACTCAGGGGCCGACGCGCATGGTTGATTTTCCGGCGAGACTGTGCCAAACGCTGAACCGTGGCGCCGAACACCAGCCAGAAATGCCCAGAACTCCATCAGCCTGGGAAAACAACGGCATGACGCAATGTCACGTGCGCACAGCACGACGAAGTTCAATTCGTCTTCTCCCAGTACCAGCCCAATCTACCACAGATACCCGGCCTCTCTCAGCTCAAAAGACCACTCGCAAGAAGGTGTCTGCAGTTGCTCAGCCTGCCACCCCCAATCAGTTCCCTCAACCGAAAAAACCGACCCCAGAATTGCGCAAGAAAACACTCGTCAATTATTGTAGAAGCTTGTAACAAACATAAGTACGAGTTTATTGCATGTTGAGCATCTGTGTACCAAGTGAAAACTCAATGTCAGTGTTCGACTGACATTGTAGCATTGTGAGTATATCTGCTGAAATGTCACTGTCCTCATCCTTGCCTGCTAAAATCATCTGGACAAGAGCAAGTCGCTCATCGTCGACAGAGCTCGCTGTGTCTTCTTCATATAACACAGGTGGAAGGCCCGGCTCCAAGCTCAAGTGGTGAATCGTGGTGAGCCATGCTTTTCCATGGCGCTCGACTCCCCCATTCGTTACTCTGCTCACACCTTCCTCTTGGATGTCAAGCGCTTCATCCTTGACAAACTCCCGGGATGTATTCGGTCAAGCAAAGGTCGAAAGGCTTGTCCATAAGTCGCTTGACGTGCGACAAAGTATCTGGCACGGTTTGTTCATTCCAGCCCAGCTGGCGCCATACCACTTCGCAACCTTGAGTATGATCAGTCTCTAAACTGGTAAATTGATAGTGTAGACTGATAGCTGATCCCAGGACATGTGAATACCCTTCGACGAGTAGTAAAACTAATAAAACATGAGATAACCAGTAGACATGGTATGACAGAAATAAAACAAACCTTGAGCGCGTTGATGATATGTTCAATGTTCAGATCGGTACCCATAAAGTGACCGGTCGGTTTACTGAAGGGAATAGTTTACCCTTTCGCATCAGATCATTGGAATAAAACAAAATAGTTAGAGCATCATCCAGAGAGAAATAAAAGAAACATACAAAAATTTGGGTGTCCAGATCTTTTTGAGATGCTGTATGAGGTGCAGACACTCTGAAATATAATTGCTGTGCCTGCCATCAGCGAAATACTCAGTAAAGTACCTAGAAATAATTTTATCTGTCCAAAGTCGCCCAATGAGATTGCCTGATCGAGCTTGAAGAAATACATAAGATCCCTGTTCATAAAGACAATGTTGCGAAGCTGGCCATCTGAAGCGCCGCCCTCAGCAAGGTCACCAGGGCAGAAGAACTGTGAGTGAATTTTCTGAACTGTCTAGAGGAGAGTAGACGCGCCGGGCTTGTCCTTTGCGAGATCCCGAAGCGATTTACCGGTGACAATCTCTCAGTAGACTAGCACATCGAGCTGCCGAGCATTCCGGGCCGTCTATTCGAACGTGTAATGGGCGATGTAATAAATTCCATTTGCATCATTAATAGCTTTGGTATTCTAACGGTTGCCTGAACGCTCAAGCCAAGGGTCTACTGGACCATCTAGTTGAGCTTGACTAGCCCAAGAACTTGCATGTGCATATCTACTAGGGTAGTCGAGGACTTGAATAGATTGATTTGCTTGCCCACGACCATTCCCCCAAGTTATGTCAAGTTACATCTATTTAAGGCCGGACTCGTCTACTAGTTGCACATTCGACTGTATACGATCAAGCCGTCCAGTTAAGGCTTGACTATAGGTGCGTGCGACCTAGTGACATTAGCCTGCAGCACTGTATCAAATAGCTGGAGCATCATCTGATAGTCCGGCTTCTCCCCTTGCAGTATCTTGAGTCCGAGGATTGAGACCGTCCATGCGAAGCTACCAGGAGTGTCGACAGAGTGTTTGTAGATGTCCATATTTTGCTAGGCTAAGATCAGCTGTTTATGAAAAAGGCTCATGGTGAGCTGCACGTTTTCGATGTGATCGAGTGATGAGACGTCATCGAGTCGCATGTGGAGGTCTCCTCTGAGGATTGCATCCGTAGCGTGATTGCTGACGGAAGGTATGGGCTTATCCTCGAGTTTTTCCTTCGAAAGCATGAGCTGATTGATGTAAGTGGCTGGTAGAAATTTGATGATGCCGTCCTTGGTCATGTCGTCGACTTTTGTGGTCAATAGCGGGTACTCGTTGACCTCCATGTTGAGCGGGAGGGTGCAATACTGCTTTGGCTGAAGCTCGTTGAGTTCGCCCAGGTAGCTATATGCATCGCCAGATGATTGCCTGAGCATCTCGATCAAATTGAGAGCGCAATGCCGCTGAATATCAGCAGCCTGAGCAATTGTTGGTTGAACATCCTTTTTGTATGTGATTAGCTTGCCACAATTGCGCCGTTTAATTATTTCAGCCAGGGAGTGATGAACGTTGGCCGTGCTGTTATTCTTTCGACGATAGAGAAGCCCTTGAGTCCCCTTAAGAATATTGTCAGGTCCTAGTTTGTGTTGCGTTCCATGCGGGCCGTATATTATCTGGACGTTGTTGAGCGAGAGGTAAAAATCCTCGAGAGCGACTTCCTGCGCACACTTTAGCTGGGCTTCTGAGAGGGCAACATTCATTGTCTTGAGCGACGACCATGAGAGACACAGGCCAACTTTAGCCATGATTTCAACAGCGCATTTTGGAATGTTGACACTAAGTACAAACGGTCCGAAGATACTCTGAAAAAGCATATTCTTCCTGGGATCGAAGGTGGGCCATTTGGCAGATTAGCGTTAAAACGACCTTAGAGCATGTTATATAGAAAAAGCAACAGCATAATGATAGACTAGCTCACCGCAGTAGATTCTGTAGTGATCTTGTATGTTTGTATTTACCGCTGCTGTACAAGAGACGAGACCAGGCCGTCAAAAGTGACTGGCATGAGTACATGAACGTGCTCGCACAGTTCGGCATCGAGATCAAAGCTGTTGGCGAAGTCAGGAGTTATGTCTTTGGTCGATCTGGGGAAGATCTCTGCAGATACTCGCTCCATTTCCTTGTCGACTACACTAAGTATATATATGTGTGCAAGATCCCTCAGCAAGATAAGCTTCGAGTTTTACTTGCCATCCCTCTTCCTTTTGCATGAAAGTCTGATATGCTAACGTGGCCCCGTCCTTCATACTACCAGCCACCTCTACCGCCGTACGGTTATCTCAACCTCTGCAACGGGTTATAGCCCCGGCTTGGCTCTCTGAGGAAGCCAAACTCAGGGAAATTTCGGCTGCTCTGGTCAACGTGAATACAACAGGGATTGACACCCACATCTCTCAGAGGGGTCCTGGACGTTCTGTAGAAGATTCCCCCATCAAAGCCAGACTATATCTATTCACAAAGGCTGGAAAATTGGCGACAGGTGTACTAATCATGATTTTCCAAGCCAGAGCTGAATTAAGGTACCTGGTACCTTATCGTACTTGATTTCGAGGTGGCCGGTTACCCGAGTTTCTCTGGAATGTGCTCAAAGATTCCCCTCAGTGGAAGATAAAGCTCAAATCTAGGCTTGAGGACGACTTTTTGTTGCATATACTTTCTGCCATGGGGAAAGCATCATAACACCACCGTTTACATGCAGAATGGCAAAGAACTCGACGAGCCTTCTGTACATCGGTCAAAAAGCCCTCTTCTCACCCTTCTGAGGATGTCCAGTGTGTGAACTTGGTGAACATCATTGCAGTTCACAAGTGCGATCTTGTTGCGGAGAGAATTGATGTTTTTGATGAGGGATGTGAGGCGGGGAGCATGACTTTTGTGCCCAAACAACTGTTCGGAGGCGCATGTGATGTTGCAATAGAATCCAAGTTGAGTATACTACGTAGATTATCAAGTGATCTGACAGAGACAAACAGCAGACACACCTTCCAGAGGTTCTTATTATCCAGGGTACCTTGGTTTATTTGAATGATGGGGATGCCGAAACGTTGAAACTCTGAAACATGAGTACATGTGAGCATAATAATTGATGAGACAAAACGAAGACTTACATGGCTAGCTTGCAAGAGCTTCAGAGGTAAGATGGTGATCACCGACAAGACATGTCGCGCTACGCTCCGACACTTTCCATCAAAGTTATCGATGGGATCTTACACAGCTACGGTATATCAGAACTTTCCCGAGGGCTTAGCTGAGGACAAAAAAGTACGATTACTCGTATATTCAAAATTATGCCCGGCTTGGCATTGTACATGTTTGGCTTTGTGGCTGTGGTATATCTCTCGCTTGACGTTAGTGCTCGGTATTTGTATACAATGAAGGGCTTCAGATTGCACGGCAGATTGACAGGCAGTGGGTCCACTCGTGTTCGAGTTTTCCTTCCCAGTACAATGGAATTATGATTCTCACTGAGCAGAATGGTAGGACGAGAGCCCTAAGTGCCGCAGCGGAGCGCGGCTGCCTTGTAGATAATTACATGTATAACCAGCAAAGTATCTTGAAAGTATCAGCACATAGTGCTCTACACGTTTGAGGTTTGTTCGGGATGAGCACCGCAGGCCAAGATCAAAAAGAACTCCCATCATATCAAAACGTCAAACAAAGAACAACAAAAGCCTACCATAATTTTGAATATGCGAGTTATTTTCGAAGGATCGTCAAAGAGGATTGGCAGGATCATGGCAAGTGTTTTGCTGTAGCCTGTTCCTGTGCAAACAACAACGTTCTTGCCAGCTAGAATATTCACAGTGGCCTCGATCTGAAACTGAGGGTGTTTTCGTTCGCCTATATACCGAGCATCGAACCAGGCTGCATCACAAAAACACCGGCGCAATATTACTCGTATATTTATTTACTCGTATATTCAAAATTATGCCCAGCTTGGCATTGTACATGTTTGGCATTGTGGCTGTGGCATATCTCGCGTTAGTGCTCGGTATTTGTATACGATGTAGGGTTCTGGTCTGCACAACAGATATCCACGGGCACTGTGTCTACTCGTGTTCGAGTTTTCGTTTCCAGTACAATGGGATGGCGATTCCCATCGAGCAACATGGTAGGGCAACATTCCCAAGTGCCGTAGCGCAGCGAGGCTGCCTTGTGGCATTGACAGCTGCAGTCTATGCAGTCCTGACCATCCGACGGTCTCGGCCCGGTGGATGGCTTGGCGGATGGTCAGAACCCCCGACGGCCTCGGCGTAGTGGACGTCAGCCCACGGTCTTGCTGTGTCGGCGGGGCGGTCCTGGGCAACATGTCGGCTGGGCTGATACTACTACTATAAATATGTCAAATGCATTCAATGGTAATATGATGTGTTATATGTCGAGATGGGGGAGGTGATCGCGGTATAGTAAATTCCTCCGCTTGAGCTAGCGGGCAACCGCAAACCTTCAGATTATCCCTATCGGGCGGGCCCCCGGGGAGACCTATTCTTTGTGGAGTCCAGCCGTCGGATGAGCCCGGCGTGGGCCGCTATTAATGTGCGTTAGATGTAATAAATACATTAGTACCCATGCTACAAGTGTTGCTCGACCCCTAGGGGCCGATTGGATGGGTCCCCGCTAGATCAAGGCATTGTGCTG